GGGGGGCAGTGCACAGGAAGATCTTGGGCGTTCTCCGAGGCTGTTTGGGACGTCTTAACCTGGAGCCTGTCTGGGGCTCTTGAGGGCTTCTTGGCGGCCTCCTGACTGTCTGTTGGGGGCCTTTCGGGGCGTCTTGGGGCCTCTGGCGACCTCCTGGGGGCCCCCTATGGCCGACGGCTCGAACTGTTGTTTCGCGTTCCCCCTCTGGGGCCGCTCTCGGGGCGCTGTTGGTGCCTTTCTGGGCCGTCTTGGAGTCGTCTTGGGCGGTCCTGGAGCCCTCTTGGGGCTCTCGTGGGCCCTCTTGTTGGGCCATCTTAGGGCGATCTTGGGGGCCTCTTGGGCCGTCTGGAGGCATCGGGAGGCCGAAGAGGCGGGAACGCCCAAACCTGTCCAAAACCGAAAGAAAATCAACGAGTTGTACCTCTCGGGGCCCTCTTTGGAGTGCTTTTGGGGGCCTCTTGGGGCGTCTGGGGGCAATCTTGGGCATGTTGGAGCGATCCTGTGGCATCTCGGAGCCCTCTTGTTCTATCTTGGGGACCTCTTGGGGGCCTCATGGCCCTTCTTGGGGCTCTCTGGAGGGCGGCGCCCAGGAGAAAAACCATCTCTGATCCGACCCGGCTGGGGCCGCCCGGGGTACTTATCGTCTGGGGACCCCCAGGGGCCGTTCCGCGCGCGCGAAGTAGAAATACTGGACACAGCTACGGGAGATCTCAACACGCCTCTGGCCCGTTGGGCCGGCGAGTTTGCGTGTCCCTGGGCCCCTTTATTGTTGCCGCTCTAACGGCGATGTGTCACCGATTCCACGTCGTTGCTCCCCTCCCTGAGCCAGCCCCCCACATGCGACCCATCGGGCCCTCCAGGAAAGAAGGCACGGTTTGTTAGCGCGTGCAGATTGGGGAGTTGGAGGCTGGTTCCGTCATGCTCCGAAAGTCAGGTGGAGGGAGGAGGAGAAGGAGGAGGAGGAGGAGGAGGAGGAGGAGGAGGCGGAGGCGGAGGCGGAGGCGGAGGAGGAGGAGGAGGAGGAGGGAGGAGGGAGGAGAGAGAGGGAGGGAGGGAGGGGAGGAGGGGGAGGGGGAGAGGGAGGGGGAGGGGGAGGAGGAGGAGGAGGAGGAGGAGGAGGAGGAGGAGGAGGAGGAGGAGGACGAGGAGGAGCAGGAGCAGTGTACATTCAAGAGTCATCAACGATATTACAATGAAGCCCTCCCTCCAAGCTCCCTCTTCACAGGCCCCTTACAAGGATTCATTTTCGCTGAGGGAAGCGCCCCGTTGGAAGACAATCGCTTGAAAATGTTGAATTGTGCCAGAACGCCAGTTCTGGGCCTTCAGCGCCGCGAATCAACGTTACCGCTGCGTCTTGACAGACCTGACTCGTTCCAGAACGCCACTCTTGAGACTTCAACACCGCGAATCGACGAATTGTTGCGCCCTGACGGTCCGACATCGTGCCAAAACAACATGTCTGGGACGCTATCCGTGAACATGTTTGAAACTGCTGTAAATTGTCAGAACCCGCCGTATACCCGTGAAGCTCCTGTAATGTGTAAGTCGAATGTGCGCGGCGTTGAAGCGAGAGCCACACATTGAAAACACCCCGCCTTCCATCCCTGAAACGTCTTGCACTAGTTTAAGACGACTGTGCGCGATGCTACGGCGAGAGCCACGATTTAGAAATGGCCCGCCCTCCATCCGCGACAGCCTTGCAACGTCTCAGCTTGAGGATCATACCAAGTGAGGAAGTTTCAAGCGAAACGCCCGGCCCGCTTTGCCGACACGCTTCGGTGCGAGACAAGGAGGAGGTCTGTACAAGGAAAAGGTCCGCTGGCCGACCTGCCCCGTCTTAGCGCGGGGATGGGTGCCGTCTCCTCCCGGCGTCGTGGCGCCCTGGAGGGCGTTGCGCTGGAGGGCCACTTTTGCCCTGTCCCAGAGGGGGTGGGGGATGGTTTTGGCAATGACGATATAGTCGGTCGGACCGAGGTATGATCGAGGTCGTTTCGGGGAGGGTCCCCAAATGTTCTGCGTGTCTGCTGGATGCTCTTGTGCATCCTGGGGGAGGGCACCCTCGTCTGTTCTGCCTGTTTTGGTAGACGGAGGGCCCCATGTGCTAGAGGGGTTTGTTTTTGGCCTACGCTCAGCCCGCACAGTGAGGATGGGCCGCCTTCCCAAGGGTACCCCTGCATCCTTGCCTCCTCGGCCCAACCTTGGCCACTCTCGCTGGCCGCGCTCCGCTCGAGAGGCTTCGCAACGGCCCTCCAATGCCCCTGCACATGTCTCGCGCACCCCCAACAATACGGTCCGACTGTAGGATCAAGTCGGGTTTGTCCTTCTACAGGAGGCAAATTCAAAGATAGTCAAAAGATAATCAGGGAACTACTGTTCGACCATGTTTGAGTATTCCCAATCCTCCTGCGTTGGGTTCTCGTTTTGAATAGAGCACTGCTCGCGCGAACCTTCCTTCCTTCCTTCCTTCCCGTCCCTCTCTTCCCCCCTGCCTTTGACCTCGCCATCCCTGGGGGGCTGCGATCTGTGAAACTGTCGCCACTTTCGAGGGCTGCTGGGGGGCCCAGCACAGTGGGTACCCACCGCAGACTCAAATTAGACCTCGCCATCCCTGGGGGGCTGCGATCTGTGAAACTGTCGCCACTTCCGAGGGCTGCTGAGGGGCACAGCACAGTGGGTAACCACCGCAGACTCAAATTAGACCTCGCCATCCCTGGGCGGCTGCGATCTGTGAAACTGTCGCCACTTTCGAGGGCTGCTGAGGGGCACAGCACGGGCACAGCACAGTGGGTACCCACCGCAGACTCAAATTAGACGCCGTTTTCGTCCTTGTTCTCCTCCTGCAGTCACCTTCCCTCTGCTGCTGCCGTGCTGATGGTTCGGCTTCCCGCACGTTTTTCTCCTGCTCTGCGTTCCCGACTCGCCATGTCCTCTTCGAGCCTGTAGCTGTCGCCGCTCGTTCTTGTATGGTTCTCCTGCGCATCATGCCATAGGCGCGTGTCCCAAGTAGCTTACACATCGAGTTGATTGTCCATGCAAGTTTCGGCCAACTCCTCGTTTCCATTGATACAAATGGGTTGGGTACGTCACAGGGTAATTTTTGATTGTTTCGTCCAAAATCCCCCTGTAGGGAACAGGCCCGACCTAACTGTGGGACCGACTGCACCTTCTTCCCGTGGCCCTCGCCCGCCCTCCTCGCAGAGGCGACGAGCCGCCCTCGGGGGGCCCCCGGCCGCAGCGGGCGGCCGCCTCGGGCCGAGGACCGGGAGGTGGAGCTGCGAGCCGCCCGCTCCGGTGCGAGATCGCTGTCGGTCGGTCCGAGCCGACTCGACGCCCGATTTCCCGACGAGGCGATGCTGTGCACCCTGCCGCGGCCGACACGATTCGGCGTCGGCGCCGTGCCGATGACCGATCCGATGCACGCCCCGATCTGGTCCGATGTCCCGATTCGGTTCGGTGCTGACCTCTCCTGCATCCTAGCAAAGAAGAGCTCTCCACCCCTCGCTCCCCATCGCCACCGCCGCCCTCCTCGGAGGCCCCCCCCTGTGGGCGTCACCCCGAGCGTCGGTCGAGCGCGGACCGCTGTCTCAGTAGCCCTACGCAGTGGTTGCAGGATCTCTTGAGAATCGCAGTTGCAGCGAGGCTGCACGGCCCACGGTCAAGAGAAGGAAG